ACATTTCAAAAAACATATTGCAAATATAAATCCAGTACTTTTCTGAAGTTGTACTATTTTCAAATAGATTTTATGTTTGTTGTTTTAACCTTATTTTTAAAAATCATTTTCAAAATAATATTTCAAGGTTTCAATTAGGGACTAAAGCTGTTGAGATTAGTGGTGCATTGCAACAGAAATATTTTAATTAAGCAGCTCTTTCCCTCACAAACCAATAAAAGTCAAAACCAGCTAACTTGATTTTAAATCAACGCATAAATTAAATGTATATAAATATGCAAAGTTTAAAAGTTGACAGCAATTAGCCATTTACTGTTAAAGTTGCACTTTTATTCCAGTCTGATTCATCTGAGACAACAACATTATCATCATTTCAAACGGCATGTTTTCCTACTTGATCATGTGTGGCACAGAGACTTTGGAGTTTTCCTCAAACACGCTGGTCATCAGGCCGTTACAGCGGATGTTATCAATGCACTGAGACAAAAAGAAAAGAGGCATGAGAGCGAGTCACAACAAGGCCAGTTCACATCCTTCATCACTGCTCTGAACCCCCACCTGGCTGATGTCGCTGGTCCAGGCGGCTTTCTCCTGGCGGGAAGGAGCCAAGAGGACGACAGAGAAGCTCTGACCATCAGGAGGCTCCACCACGATCTTAAACTCCAGGTGACTGAAGCCCTGACCTGCAGCGTTGTCTGCAAAATTAACAGAAAACAACAAAGTAATGACTTCATTAGCTTTATTCACACAGAGGTTCCTGTTTGCAATCAGAGAGCTTTGTTAAAAGCAATGCACTGAAGAGATTACATCACCGTGCTTCACTGAGGATAATGAGATTTATTGATTTTACAGAGCAAAAAATGACAATATTAAGAAGTTAAAAATTTTCCTTTCATTCCTTTTTTAAATAAATATTGGTTCATTTTCATTGCTGATGACTGACAGAGATGTTTCTGAATGTGACAGTTGACTAGACATAAAGACAGCAGAGATACTCACAGTCTTCATCATTAGCATCTAGTTCTTCAATGAGTGTGCACTCAATCAGAGACAACGTTCCTCCCTGCTGTGTGAAGAAAAATAAGACGTAGTTCTGCTGTTTGATTTTATGATGGTCGCAAAGCTTACAACAGAAAAGTTAAAAAGCAAGAGAAAACATTACAAAAAACAAGTTTTCATTCAAACTACATTTGTCAAATTCAAGTCCCCGCAGGCCAGAGAGGGCTCTTGTACAACATGTATTTAGTGTTAAATATTTACTGTCTCCAGAGAGACGTTAGTGTTTGAGTCTCAGGCAAAAGACCAAAGGAAGAGAGAAAATTAGCTGCACTGTTGCTTTTACCAAAATAGTGCAGGAGTTTCCAAAAAAAAAAGAAAAAGAAAAGAAGAATTTTTCCTCATTACCAAACGTGTGTGAAACAATGTTTCTTTCATAAACAGATCATCAATAAAATTCATAAATTTCTGTTGTTTTACGTTCAGAATGTGTTTAAAATTAGCACGATTTGCTTTGTGAAAATACAACACACCAGTGGCCCATGACCCTGAATGGAAAAGTGGAAAATGAAAGTTGATGAATTGGTGTTTTCTAAACACAAAACACAAAGATGAAACAAGTGGCAAATGTGAATGACAAAATAGAAGAAGAAAAAAAACACAAAACAAAACAATTCTGCACTCTCAGTAAAACAGAGCCAAAGCACCCGCTTCGGATGTTATCATCCATTAAATGGACGTTATTAGCCGTTATCATTTCCAAAGGATGGCTTCAGCTGACAGTCTGAAGCCATCCTTATGAAGCATAAACCACTAAGGTTTTTTATGTAATCTGGTTAATATGAGGCATAAAGCCACTAAGGTTTTTTTATGTAATCTGGTTAATATGAGGCATAAAACCACTAAGATTTTTTATGTAATCTGGTTAATATGAGGCATAAAACCACTAAGGTTAATTTTAGAGAAAATGACATGGGCTACGATAAAGTAGACCGGACTCAGGCAGTAGCAGATTGTTGCATTCCAATGTATATGGCACTGGTAACCCACTAGGGGGCACTGTCGGGACAGTCTGAAGCCATTCTATGGGACTGATAAGCGCTAATAACGTCCATTTAATGGACTGATGACATCCGAACCGGCTGGCTAAAATCTTTAACATGGCAGAAGATTTTATCTATGCTGCTTAAAATGTGTCCATCTAATCCTATATCCAGCCAAAAAGTATTTTTGATCTTGTTTTGGGACTGAAAAACTAAACAAAAACAGAATATGTTAGATGATTAATCTTGTTAGCTGAAAAAAATTGTCTTATTTTAAAAAGCCATACCAACTGCAACTGTCTTACTGCATTTGCAAATTATTTATCTTAAATTGACAAGATTCAGACTATAATCTAGCATTTTTTAAACTTATTTTTAAATGAATATTTTTTGCAGTGTAAAAAAGAGATATGACTCGGATCATTCTTCATAAATGGTTCAACTAAACTATTCTTTTTTTGTCTCTTTCTTGAGGAGGTGAAATAACATCTGCTATGTTGAAACTGTTAAGCCTTTGTTTGCTTTTTTCCCCACAAGAAAACTGATATAATGAATAAAATATTCTTAAATGAATTGAACTAAATCTGAAATTCTCTTCTGTAATTTCTTTGCTGCAACACAAATCATCTTTATTGCGTGCATAAGTTTGTGTCTTGACAAAAACTTGCACTTGCATAATGAAACTGTCAGGAAGAAACCTACTCAGTCTGTGGACAGGTGAAGTTTACCTTCAGCAGGTGAAGCTTGCCTCCAGACGTTCGTGTACAGATGAGGAAGTGTTTGGTGAAGAGAAAACACTGCCTCTCGCCTTCCTTCCTGAGCGACAGCGAGCCCAGACGCACTTTACTGAGCATGCCTCGCTCGCTGCTGGACGGCAGCTGGATGAGGGAGCCTGTTCATGGAGAGGAAGAGGAGGGACATGGTGCCAGAGTGAAGGAGGTCATCTGGATGTAAAAACCTAGAGACAGACGCTCACCTTGTCTGACAAAGGTCTGGCTTGTGTCTAACAGGATGTCACAGCCTTCAACGATCATCCTTTCAATGGCCAGATTCTTCCGGATGTTTTCTGTGTCGCTCACCTCATCGTGCATCATCCTGAAAGCAGAGAAAAAACACTCTCCATTGAGTATCCTGGATTTTATAGCCCTGTTATACTGTTTGAATAGAGTGAACTAAATACAGGTGTTTTTGCAGCTCTGAAGCAGAATAAAGGAGCACCTTCCAGCAGCTCCAAGAAGACTGGGCACAAATGACCATCAGAGCCCGTCCCCTCATCTGAGACTCAGAGAAGCTAAACTCTCATCTACTGGGGTAAACTCCAACACACAAACGTAGACCCACACCAGCTCAGCGCCTCTCACCGTGGGCAACTCCAAACTGGAATAAGGTCCAGCCCGTCTCCAGGAGATTGTTGCCAGAGCCCATGCTGCCCACTATGGCCCATTGCTCAATGCTGTGCGCACCCTACACCCCTCTGTGAAGTGTGGATTCACACAAGTGCACATACAGCAGGTAAAATAAGTAAGAAACACGTCACCATTTTTCTCAGTAAATATATTACTAGAGGTGCTAATGACATGAAATTTTCACCAGATGTCAGTAACAACCAAGTGATCAATACATAACAAATAACTTCATTTCTGGACATTTATGGTTTGATTTCTTTGTATGTATGGATCACTTGGGTTGTTACCAACATCTGGTGAAAATTTCATGTCATTAGCACCTCTAGTAATATATTTACTGAGAAAAATGGTGACGTGTTCAATACTTATTTTACCCGCTGTAAGTCTTTGAGTGCGCAGGTTACAAGTGTGCAAAACAATTGAGATTTGGGACAGTACAGATTACGTCGTCGACTTGCACCTCTGCGTCGTAACTGACATCTAACAAGGCAGGACCAGCCACGTGTTTTGGCATTTGTATTGCTAAAAATGATAGTACAACTACAAAAAGCAATGTTTTTAGGAGAAGAAAGTGAATGAAGCAAAGGAGGCTTATACTTTATATCAGAGTATGAGAACTGACTTCTTTAAGTTCTTCTTTTGGTTTTATTGGTGGTCGGCAGACTAAAGTGCATTACTGCCACCACTAAACTCTACGGTGCTCAGTGGACATTGTCAGATTTCTGCCTCTTAATTCAAAACATCACACACAGCAATGAATTGTGGGTAATACACTTCGCCGAAGTCCATAAAAATGTGGACTTTGTGTAAGGGCGGAAATAGTACCAAAAATGTGCGGGGTGAAGGGCGGATGTGGAGAATGAGGGACACACTACGCACTCAAACCCTTCAGCATGAACGCACATTTGAAGTGCACAAGGGCGGAACGAGGGTGGGAGTGTGGGTATTGGGACAGGGCCTCTCGTCTGAACCTCTCAGCCTCACACACCAGACTCCTTCCCCACCAGAGAGGTGACATTCAGAGTATCTGATGTCACATCCTGGGTGTTTACTGATTGTTGTTAAAGGAGAAAATGTTTCACAGTGGGAAACATTACTGTTCAAATTTTTTGAGATGCGTTGCTGCCATCAAATTCAAAATGACCTTATTTAATTTAATAAAAAACAAGGTTCTTTGTTTAAACATTTACTTCAATCAATTGTGAGTAAAATCTGTTTTTGAAACCTGTAAATCATTGCTTTCTGTTTCTAGTTACATTTTTTATGTAAGTTTCAGAACTGAGGCTGTCTTTCTAAACAATCTTTCTACAGTTTGCTGTTCATGAGGTCGTAACGTATCCAGACTTACTTTGACAACTCCTCCAGCTTGGATTTGGCAAACTCCATGCTCTTACGCTCCACATGCTCATGAGGTGTGTGTGCCAGAAGCTCGTGGAGAGTAATGATGTACCGAGGAATCTAAAAACATTGTCAAATATCTTCAAACACAATCACACACAATTATAACTAGAAACTTTCTAAAGATATTTTGAAGGATGCAAACACAGTTACTGTAGGAAAATCCTACAGGGTTTAAAGTAATGTGTCTGCAGGTTTAAACCCTGCCTGGGTCTTTAAACCAAAGGAGTTGAGATGTACAGTACAAACACAAATTTAGCTCTTTTTTGTGCTAAGTTTAGAAATTCAATCCAGAAAACGGAGAACCTGTTTGTTTTATTTTACACAGTTGAAATTTAAAATACTCCTGTTTCAGGTGGATGTAGGTCTATTCTCTGATTTAATTGTTAGACCAGACCAGGGGTCTGCAACCTGCGGCTCTGGGGCCACATGTGGCTCTTTGGTCCCTCAGCAGTGTCTCTTTGAAAATGTGGCCAAACATAACAGAAAATTTTTTGTTTGTGTGTTTTTTATACCCACAACAAAAACCTATTTGTATGCAAATATGTGATCAATACTAAGTAAAACATGCTAGCCTGTTATGTACTTAAGTGATCCAACTTCTTTCTATGATCTTTCTCTCAAATCCTTCAGAATTACCTTTAAAGAATTTGAAGACTGCATAATAATAAGAATTAGAAAAAAAATGTCTGAATAGTTCAGTTGTTCTAGTTTTTCTGAAATTCGTTATAAACTATATACAGTATTTTTCTTGTTTACATGAATATGGTCTTTCCATTCATCCTGATGTGTAAAAATAATAGTAAATAATAAAATTCACAGTCTATTTTTTAGTTTTATAATGTCACCTCCACTGGCCGTAAAGGGTCCTGAAAAGGCCCACGGACCACCAGTTGATAAACGCAGTTGTAGCT